GTACTCAAAACTCCCAGTCGGACTTGAACCTTTACCTGTAAGCTGAATATCTGTTGAGTAGGATAAAACAGGACATATGGAGACGACGCTTTGAACTCTGGGAAACTGTTGTTGATTCACAGATAATTGATAGATGAATGTGTGATTAAAATATTATATTAGTTGCAGCGTTAAAGAAAAGCTATTTTATTAAGTTTAGATGACTGAGATCGAGTTGACATGGCAGGTCTCTAACTGTGTGTGTGTGTGTGTGTTTGTGTGTGTTTGGAGTACAAACTCAGACCTGACTACTTACCACTAAAGACAACAAGCCAGTAAAGAAGCATATTATACATATTACAATCATATTACATTGCATTGTGTGCACATAGAGATAGAAAGTGATTCCACCTTTGCTGACCCATATCCCATATAAGCTCATGAGCCTCTTAAACTTAACACCTTGACAACGCTGTCCTGCATCCAGGAATAGAGGACAGAAGTGACGACTCAGCGCTATGTCCACCCAGCGTGCAGTGAAAGCAGCACATCTGATGCTGCTCCTGAGACGAAGCTCTGTGCTCTGTAGACTCTGTGAAATGAAACACAATAACAACAATAAAGGCTTGAGCTGATAAAATAAGATAAATGAAGAGATGGGTGGAAAAAATACACCAGTGACAGGTGAATTAACACACCACAGAACAAAAGCCTTGATATTTTGCAGTCACTCACACTTTACATATTAAGGTGAAGTCTCCTTAATAGTCCATCCTTGAATGTTTGCTCATGCTACAACAAAAAATAAGAAGGTCAGTAATTATGAGCTATGGCATCGGCGCTTTAAAATCACGAAATAAGATACAATTGACTATATTCAATGAATTACAAGACTATTGTCTAAATTAGAGAGAGTGGGTCTATATCGAGGCAGAGTAACAGTTTGAGTAAAAAGACTTTGGGCTTGGGGAATTTTGTCACTTTTAGAACAACTTATTCAGCATGATTCCTGCAGGATCAATATCACTCTCAGGCCTATGGGACATAATTCACATGGAGGTTTAGGAAGAGCTACCAAGAATACACACTTGGTGGCCATAACTGGCACAGGAGATTAATTAATACTGAATGCTGGGATGCTATTAACTATTGGCATGTGGCATCTTCACTGACCTCTGAAAGTCCTTATGTGTTTAAAAGTTGTTTTCTCTGAAGTGTTTCATGAGCCTTCTGTGCAACTGCAGACAGTGAATTTACGATAGGATGTCTTTATCTCTGGTGCCATCTAGTGGAAAAGCCATCCGTGACCCTTATTGTATTTTGGCACTGGGGATAAAGGGAGTAGATCCAATTGTATATGTATCAGAGATTATACCTCTGAGGTTACGATTTACTTCTAAGGATGGTAAAAAAAACCTCAATAACTTAATCTTTCAACCTAGATTAAATAGGTATATTTTTCATAACACTCCTCCTTAACAAAAGAGGACAACTCAATTAAGAAGAGCTCATAAATTCTGTACAACGGGCAACACATTTTTGTAACTTTCTTAACCAGTACAAATCCATTATAGGTCATTGTAATGTGCTATGATGATACATTTTTATGTTGGACATGTATCACCATATATCTTGTTTTTCTTTCACAGAGTTGTTTTTGTTCTCTTTTCAGACTGATACAGCCCCCTGCATTCTGTCTGCCTGCTCCCCTATCTTATCTTCACTGCCTTGAAGATTCCCAGACACTGCAACATGCAGGAAGTGTGTGTGTTTCTGTGTGTGTGTGTGAACAAGTATCTAGGCCTGCATGTGTATCACCAAATGACATATCAAAATAGGTTCCCCTTTCTTTCACAACTTACAGTACGACATGTATTTTTATGTGAGAGAAACCAATCATGTTTTTTTTTCTACATTTTTTGACAACTATGTGTGTGTAGGACCCCTGAGATTACATGTGTGAGTGAATTTGTATGTCGTGCTGTATGGGTGTGTGCTGTAATTCTGTCATGCTCTCATGAGGAAAACAATAGCTGAGGGCGCTGATGAAGAGCGGAGGCCCCTCAGCATTGTGTGAGCAGCAACAGATGTTCACCATAATTCATCACACTTGACCTGTGTGTGCCTGACCCCTCTTTCAGAGAGCTCCTTACAGTGCTCAAGCAACAGATGTAGCCTAAAGACTCTATAGATTTGCTGTGGCATGTGACAATAAATGCACAGTTGTCCTGTTATAGGTTGTGTTTGACTCTCCTGTAACATTCCTGTCTGAAATTGTGTTGAGAAATTGCAAATTTTCTGAATTTGACACTCATTTTCTGTCATAGTCTAGCACATTGTAATGATCTGTAGCACACTGTCTATGACTCTGTTATGTATGTTAGATATAAACTTTCAATAAAGCTGCAGGATCTGTCTTTGTAAATGTCGCTTACCCCACTAACGGCTCTTTTTGTAAAGAACCAGACCAGACATGCTGCGTAGGCAGCAACAGGAAAGGTCTGGGTTTCCTGTTCACATTATTTCTCTTAATCAGTTTTATCAAAATGTGAAATGTGGCCAAATGAAACAAACCGCTGCCTTGTTGCGCAACACACTTTTTAGCTTTTGTTTTCATGTGGGATTGTTTGCGGCGTCTCCACTAGAGTGCGCACTGACAAACAGCGTGAAAACTAACTGAGGCAGTAGACCGAGACCGGAAGTTACACGTGTGGGCCTTCAACAATAAAAGCGTAACATTGGTCAAGGGAGCAAGTCGAGATTCTGTAGAGTAGACAGTATTTGTTCAGACAGTTTCAGAGCGCATTCTCTCTCCCTCTCTGTTAAATAGATAAATAAAAATAATAATAATTATAATAATAATAATGATAATAATAAGTTCTAAATATAATAAGTTATAATAATAATAATTATAAGTTATAATAATAATAATAATAAGTTATAATAATAATAATAATACATTGTTGTTGTTGTTGTTGTT